ACATGGTAAGACGATAAAATCCTTAAAAAAATACATTTTAAAACATGCACGAATAAGTAATCAAGAGAACTATTTATTAAGTGTTAGTTACAAATTAAATTTCTTGTGTAGAATATACATATTAGATAAAATATAAAAGATAATATGTACATCTTCACTATAAGTATTGAAATACAGTTAGAAAGTGCTGCCAGCATAAGATAATTCTGCCACAGGGTCGGAAATTTCCATTCGTTTATTATTATTTTTATGTGCAGTCTAGGTTAAGATTCTATTGTAAATAAGAAAATAATAATACTGATTTTTCAGCTGGTACTCAACGACTTGGCGCCAAACTTCAGTGCAAATCTTATGGGCATCTCAAATTGCTTTGCTAATATAATTTCAATCATTGCTCCACTAATTTGTGGTGTCATCATTCAGGATGAGGTAATTTTATTAAAGACAAAAAATACGCAAATAAACTTTATAGACACTTTACATCTATTTTATATTGATAAGCAGCTTAAAACAATGCTTGCATTTACAGTAAGTTTATAAGCACTTAACAATTAAGTAAGTGGTAAGTAGGAATAATAAGGTTCTTCCTTTTCATAAGGAACCTTAAGAAGTAACAGGCGAGTTTTTCTTAATTCGAATGGAATTTCGAAGATCTATGTATACAAGATTCGAAGTATTTTGTAAACATTTATCTATAATTGTTACCACAGATTAAGCGTAAAAGACGCGTTTTTTTTTTCAATGTCAGGGCGTGTTCTCATACATTACGGTAAACTTAGTGTGTAAATAACCATGTTTTTCATCAAATTAATTTTAAATTTTATTGATTTACATAACAACAGAAGCCAGTTATAGGGTTTAAGGTCCCGGTTGTAAGCTGCTGTACCTATTAATTAAAATATAGAGCAGTTTGTTATAAGCTGTTGGTACAAACACTTTTTTTTTTCAGTCGGACCCAACTGAATGGCGTAAAGTGTTCTTCTTAGCATCAGCTGTCTACTTCTTTACCAATCTGTTCTTTATTTTATTCACAACATCTGAAAAACAACCTTGGAACGAATCGGAGGAAAATGATATTGGTAAGAGTACTTTTAATTAAAGCTTATGATTTTTCGCTTTTACCTTCTTTTATTACACACGTATTGGGCATTATTTTCTATATGCTTCCCATAGGAAACAACTATTATTTCATCGGAAATCTCAACTCTGCCCTCGTGGGCTCTTAGAGCTTATGAGTTTTTGACTGCAGAAAAAATATTATAAAACAACATTTTTTTTCAGAAACCAAACCGGAAGTAAAAGTAAAATGAAGAGGCTACGAGTATTTTAAATAGTATTGTGTACATGACTGAGTTGTTACAGGGGAAAAAACAATAACGTTGTTATTATTTTAAGACATTAAGAATAAATGGCACATATTGCTCTAAAATAAATACTGCAATTGTTTTAATTTAAGCTAAACTAATAAATACGCAGAATAAAAATAAAAAACAATTGCATATAAGGTCTTTGTTTTCTTTGATGATATTATCTTCTTTTCAGGGCACTGTAGAGGATTATTTGTACACTTGTATGCAACTATTTTGGTTTGATTTTCAAAAATATACCTTAACTATATCATAAACGTTTTATAGTAAACTAACTTGGAAAAATATAAAATTACACATAAAGAAAACCAGTTAGGTCAGGACCTAAGATTGTTGTATCTGTTTCGTTATCATTTGTAAGTGTCAACCTTCTTTGTCTGACAGTTAATTGGTGCTCAGCCGGGAACTAGCGTCCGTAGGGATGAGAATCGCACGTTGAAGCCACTAAGCCAACACTACTGCGGAATTACATAATATAAAGATAAAACTTTATGCAGTGTAGTTAGACTTAAAGCTGTTACCAACGTATTAAAGACTTCTAATTCGCACCTGGAAGTATTCGCCAAAAAAAATTTAATTCGTGAAACGTTTTAATAGAAAGGAGGGAGAACAGAGAGCCGCGGGAGGCCAGTTACTGTCTACTGCCTGTAGAAATTTAAAGAATATTATATTTATTATACGCGGCCGGCTCATATATCTTGCAGCACCATCATATATAGTCGAATAAAATATCCCTACGTCAGGGGATCACTCTTCTAAGCATAAAAATAACACATTGGCAAATAGAAACTACACTAGCCAAATTGGATTTCGAATCTACAGAGGCATTACTACATATCTTGGTATGACTTTGAGGTTTCATAAACAACAGACACAGTGCACGATCATAACAACTTACATGCGCATACACACCTATTCACACACACACATTAATCACTCATTCACTTCATTTGTAACACTAAATTTATAACTATTATTATTATTTTTTAATTATAATCTTTTTTTTCAACTTATTTAAACATGTACCACGTAATAATTGTTTGCCTCCCTAGTGTGGGGACTAGCGATATATGAATTCTGTCACAAACCCTTTTGTCATAAATAAAGTTTTTACTATTATTTTATTTAAAATAAAACTTAAATCTAGTTTCAAGAGCCCTTTTTTCTGTACGAAGTTTTTCATGTTATTTCTACTTAGAATGCACACCTTTTTATGAATATAAAATATGCGTATAAAAGCACTGGATACACACCATGCTCGTACATGTCACACTAAAGAAAAGGCAGATGTAGTAGAAAATATTAGAGCCGCAAACGAAGCAAGAAAATAAATTTACACTCCCTAGAGAAAGTATACTTTAAACTAAAGTGGAAATTATTTTCTCTTTGCAACAAACGAGAATAAATAGATGTTGAAAATATATTAATCTCAAAAACATGCGTGTAAGTTTCTGTCAGTATAAGACTAGTGTTTGTGAGCTACTCAGTTATAAAACCATTTATGAAATTAAACATTTACTATTTAAATAGTCTACATAAGTTGCCTAAGTAATATAAGCGATTATAAATCAAATCCGACAAAGTCATCCGACCAAATAATTGTGTATTATTATTATTCAATAGCCCTTATTTTTTATGACTATTACATTTCGTCGGATTCGCGATATTATCACTTATATCGCATTTCAGCACTCATAAAAATATTTTAAATGTATGTAAAGAAATGCACCATAAGTAGATTATAGGTAAAATATGCTACTACTATGCATATGTCTCAATAGTGACTATTAAATTCAATAAAGCGAAGAAACTATGTGGATATTTAGATTCTTCCTTTGGCATTATACATTGAATGTACACTAATGCTTTCTCTTAATATAAACTACCTTACATGCCCAATGTTCTAGCCAACGTAAACCTGTATGATATATTTAAACGTTATGCCAAAAGGCTGTAGGCATAGGCGCATATATCATGATACAGATATTGGACATTTGAATGCAAATCGTTGAATTATTCGTGTCTGATTGCAACTTGAAAACTAAATACAAATAGATGTTATTAACACTTAGCAGTAGTAACCTGCTCCAGGTGGATAATTTTACAAAAAAACTTTGTGATGCGGATGAAAAAGCTAAAGCCTGCAAATACAGGGGTCTAGACTCCGAATATGATTTTGTCCCATTCGGTGTCGAGACATTCGGTCCGTGGGGTCCTAGCGCATTAAGGCTTTTAAACGAAATATCAATAAGGTTAGTCGACATCACAGGAGACCAAAGAGGTGGCAGCTACCTCGGACAAAGAATTAGTCTAGCTATTCAATGGAAGAACGCTGCTAGTATCTTCGGAACCTTGCCTCCAATATATTATTAAAAGGGACTCCTTTTAATAATATATTTTAGTAATTAAATTTTAAGATTGGTTATTGATTTTATTGTTTTTTTTTGTATTTATAAGCTAGGTTATATAAAGAATTGCGTCTTTAGGAAAAGGGATCGAGTGGGTTCTTATCCCTTCACTTAAGTTACACTTTCCTAAAATAACCCCACATATTACTGTGAGATTATATAGCAGAATGGGATGGGAATTAATATAATTATTTTGTATTGTTAAAGCAAGTATTTAACGAGCAAAATTTATATTTTTTTTATACTAAAAACCTTGTAACCTTGACTGTGCAAGGTTTGTGGCAGTGGGGTCTAGGGAAGACGGTCATTGGCTTATCCTTCGGCAAACTCTTACACATTATTATTAAAGCAGCGAACAAAACTTTTACAAACATAGCAAAAAAAACATAAGCGTCTTTCTATAATATTCTTAATTTCGTGAAAACGTTGTAAGTTACACAAATTCCGTACCTATCTCAGACGTTTTTTATTTAGCAATATCTCTGTCTGGTAAGTACATCATGGAAATATTCGTTGATAAACTTATGCACTCAAGTATCTTGAAATATTGTTTTTTCACATTTTTATAAAGAGTCGTTTAAGAGCACCTGAATCTAGTTAAGTTTAAAAGTTTATTCAGAATAATTTTGAACTAAAAATTACTGTTTCATTTTTATTCAATTTATTCCCAATATACTGGAATTTCCTCGATGCTAATTTTGGGTGCTTAAGTGCGGTAAGTGTCATTCCCTCGATAGCTTTGACCTTAAAGATTTGTGATTATCATTAGCGTAGTTAGTTATTTTATTATACTGGCCTCTGAAAGAATTTGTGTCGCTTAAGCTTAGAATTTCAGCCCGGCATCCTGACGTGAACACTAGACCACAATGGGATGGGCTCGCCCCACTCGGCCACCGTCGCACCGTCGCTGATGGGCCTACGTTGAGTATTGTAATTAATATATGTATTAAGAGTAATTTGATTTGTCAATGAATTTGAATTAATTTTATAAAGACAGTACCTTAATTAAAAACTTGTCGTTATTAATAACTTGTAATTATTAAATTCTTACAGATGATCCAATTAAATTCATAATTATGATACAACAATTACGATTATAAAATTTTAATTGCTTAAAGATAATACATGTTTAATAATATCGTACTGTCTCGATCAGTTTATTTATAAACCGGCCTGGTGTTGGCCGTGTTTTCTTGTGCTATGAAAAATTGGATATTATAAAATAATGGTTGCCATTGTGGATAGCATAAACCTTCGACCGAGTGAGTTAAATGTTTTCATAATACCTACTAAAACGAGTTTGAATACAAAAATAATTTAAAACCCACGTTTCATAAAAAACTCATTAAAGAAAGACCACATTATTTAACAATTTTTAGCCGTGCACAAAGAAAAAAAAAAACAAAATAATTTTTGATTTAATAACTAACGTTAACAATAAAGAAAACGTTATACAGTTAAACGTTACGCGCTTAAATATAATACTAATTTTTTTTAATCCTCTATTTAACACGTTCACTGCGACATCATTTTATAAGAACTTTCAGCTGGTGCGTTGGAGACCTAAAAGATCTCGTAACAAGCCTATCCTCTGGTGCGTTTGAGACCTAATCAGTCTCCTAAAAATACAGTTTTGAAAATAATTTATATCTTCCAAAAAAACAATGACATATATTTGAAGTTTTTGTGGGTGAAAGATAGCCTATTGCTTTGTAATTTGCTAGGTTCGCACGTAGTTATGACATTTGAATAAACTACAAATACCAAAAAAAAATTAGATATCGATTGTATCTCGTACCGCAACCGAAGATAGTTCAATATGTGTAGTAAGTAGTGATGGGAATAAAATAATATGTCAGTTATCGATTCAAAAAGTTTTATTGATTATGCAAAGTGTTTTTCATTAAAACATGGTAAGCACATTGATTGCTTGCATTGCGCGCAAATAGTAACAATTCGTTTAGTTTTTTTAGAAGCGTCAATGCTGTTTAATGTGCGCCGTAATTTTTCGTAACAACCCACACAACGTCTTTTTTTGGCGCCACGTTGGAAAATATGATCAGTACATCTTCCTTTGGGGAGTTCTGTAATAAAATGCTTTATATAATAAACAGCAGGCAACTATGTCAGTGAAGAAAATGCTATGGAATCTAATTTTATCAGTTTTTCTAATAGTGAAAAGTTATTCGAGTGTCTTATGTATATTTTTGTTTTAGGCTGTTGTTGCTTTAAAAAAATATACGGTGGTATGAAATTAAAGCTGGATTTCACGGGTCTCTTGTAAGTTTACTATAGCAACGTTTTTTATAATAACCGAAATTAAGGCTACCAGAAAAGAACTTACCAGAGACATGTGAACCCCCTCCCCACCTCCCCTGTGTAGTATAATGCTTACATAATAATAACACTCTAGCATTAGAGATAAGTAGCAAAGCCCACCAGAAATGCTACTAAGCTAAGACAATCTCGAAAAATAACAACCAAACATTTTTAGGCAAGCAACAGAAGAAGTACATTAACGCGTTTCAAACACAAAAAATAAAAACCACGTAAAGTCGAAAAAAGGCAGGCAGTTGTTAGTTCTAAATAAAGCCTCATTAATTTATGTTATTTGAATGGTATCCAAGAAGATTTTGTACAGTAAACTCGAATGATTAAAGTGCATAACATGCTCAGTTTCATGCAAAGCCTGCTGCAGATAGTTGACGATGCTAAGCTTACCCGCTGTGTGGAACCATTACCTAAGTTTCTGGAGAGATTTTAGCTACCTTTATGAGTAAGATAAGAACAGTTTGTGTTCGAAGAACTGTTTGGTATGTTGACCACGGCAATCTTCTGACACCACCACGCTCGCCATCGGTTTTATCCACATACCCATGAAACTAAACGGTTATGTTTAGAACAAATTAAGATGAAATTGTGATGATTTCCTCTAACAAATGGTGAATAACAACATGATACTCTGCAAAAGGGTGAGGGAAACGCAGTAGGTACACAAGTGCGTGTCTAGTATTTTGAGCCCTCTAAGGCTAGAGGGATGGCTTAGTGTATATCTGCTTTCCATTAAATGTCATGTCACAACAAACCGGCAGGTTTAATATACACGTTTGTTGTCACACGAGTTGCATTAAAAGTAGTACTTTGTGCAATAATAAGTTAATCATACCTGTTCCGGAAATTTTTTGGCCTCCGAATGTTTCGATTATTGATTCTGTGAATTCTTTTTTTGACATTTTCTTCTCTGTATTGGAATTGTATATTATCCATGCGTTTATGAGTGCAGTACCAAATAAAAATTCCATCATCACTTTCCGATACCATTTTAGACCTCGTCGTAAAGTTGTATAGTATGCCGACATTTGATCTGAGTAGTCTATGCCTTTTTTATTATCATTATAAGTTAATATGCACAGTGGCTTTCTGATCATTTCATTAGTTCTATTATGTATCTTACCTGTATCTACTAGAGACGCTTTATGTGTTTTACAGGAAGTTATCATTGAAACTTGGCGCTTATCGTGCCATTTAATAACTTTTACACCACTAGGCAGCATTTTAGCTTCAACTTCGCCTTTTTTCAATTTTTTGACATAAATTGCTTGGGCAGTCCTCTTCGGTTTGATCTTAGCGTGCCACAGTAAAATGTTTTCTTTTTTAAGAGTTCCTCTACTAAATCAAGAGAAGAATAAAAGTTGTCGGCTACTAAAATTCGTCCTTCATTTTCTAGACCCTCTATGAGCTTCATAACTACATTTTTTCCATGGTTCACTTCTCTGCTATTTCCTTCTTTACCTGTATATACTATGGTTTTAAAAGTGTACCCCTCAGGAGTACAAAGTTTATATAGTTTGACTCCATATTTATGAGATTTATTTTTGATGTATTGGCGAAAAATAAGTCTCCCGCGCCAGGGAATCATTGATTCGTCTATCACGATACATTTTCCTGGAGTTAAAATATCTCTAAAACTATTATTTAACATATTAAGTATTGGTTTAATTTTGTAGAGTCTATCTCCAGTATCATTTCTTTCATCGCTGAAATGCCAAAACTTTAGAATTAAGATAAATCTGTCTCTTCCCATGAGAGAGCATATATATTCATTTCTGTAAATGGATTTCTTTGACCAATAATCGTGAAAATGTGGAACCTTATTCAAGCCCATCGTAAGCATGACACTGAAAAACTGACGCATTTCATTTGCATCTGTAGGTTTCCAAGCTTTAGAGCGTGATTTTACAGTAATTTCTTTTTCTAATAAATATTTATCTGCATATTTATTCGTTTATAATATCGTCAGTTACAAACAAACTATAAATATCAACGGGCATTTTTTTATTTATATGTACATTTATGACGCTATCAAGTATGCTCTCATCGAAGCTCAATACGTCAGTGTCGGGAATGTCAATCCATTCTTTTTCATCCTCAAGCACTCCACCCTGATATATTTTCAGATATATTATCATCATCTTCAGTTATTATATCGGATGAGAGATTTTCACTTATATCATCAACACTTCCATTTGAAGCGATTTCATCTATATCAGTACTGGTTGCTTCATCAGTCTTCGTCTCCGGGTCGTCTTCTTGTATTTCGTCGTTTTCTACGTTCTGTTCTAGTTCTTCCTCTTTTTCATTCTGTATTTCTAGACTTCCAATTTGTTTATTCTGGTATTTTTCTTGTCCTATTATGTTATTTTCTTGTTGCTTTTCAATGTTTCTCTCTTCTATTTTTTTTTGTAAATTATTGTTCAAGTTGTATTTAGACGTTTTTCTTTCTGTTTTTTCGTCAAAGGTGAGCGCATCTTCCTCAAAAGTATACTCAAAAGAAATTGGAATATTGTTTGTATTACCTGTGGTTCTTCTTTCGTTTATAGTTGTTTTAATCAATTTTTGCATACTGCTCTCATTAAATTCTAAAGGCAATAAGCATGAATTTGAAATATTATTCAAAGACGAGCACCTGCTTGATGTACATAAAGAATTTAATGAGGCAGGAGAAGCTTTAGCATTTGTGTTCGATGTTTCTGTTAGCATTTGGTTGCACGAGGTAGGAGTAGATAAACCACCATGGTTCCGAGAATCAGTACCATAAAATCTACGAGTAGGTGTCATAGGATCAGTAGCAATACTACACCGACTATACGTCGGTGTAGTAGTCGTCATCAATAATGTGGTATTATTGTTTCTATATTTTTGACTGGATATCGTATTCTAAAGCACATTAAATCGTTTTCCAGTACATGGACTGATATATATTATGTTTTTATTACTTAACTGCGAGTGCTCCAACGTAGAAAGGTTTATCGGTTTCTTTTTAGGTAGGTCAAATATTTCATAATTAGAATCACTGTCAGTATTACCCAAAGGGGGGTAAATTTGAACATTTTCCAAAACTTTTATTTTACTGGACGATGCAGCAGTATCCGGCGTTGATTTTTTGTTAGACACCTCACCAAAATAAATAGATTTTTTACACCTTTTTCTTCTAAAAGCACTCATTGTTTATCAAAACTAATCAACACGTAGGTATATACGCGAGTGTTATTTACAAAACATGCGCGCGACCTCATATGTCGAAGCTAGGACAACACTAAAACGAGTCACGTAGCGCCCGCGCCGCCCACTCTCCCTCTCTTGCGTCTACGAGGCGTACGATTACACGAGTACCGACATATCTCCTAACGCAAGGAATTAAAATAATTACAAAACTGTGCGTTAGGGACCTAATCCATCTCTAATTTATTTTTTAATGTCCTTGAATTCAGCTTTAAGTAGGAAGCAAATATGTATATTTGTCCTGTTCATCCTTAAAGAACTCTACAAGTTAGACCCTCCCGCAAGGAGTGAAAAAACACGATTATGTTCAACGCACAATACAAAAGTCCTGCAAGAGATCTGATAGATCTCGTAACGCAGCGAACGTGTTAAGGTGCATGTTGCACTTTTGACGTAGATAGTTATAAACAAACTAATTTCGATTTCAAACCGTCATTTGTTATAAATTTAATGAATGAAAACGACATATCAAAAGAGAATATATAATATTAAAAACCAATATATATAGCCTTAAATAAGGCTTCCGTATTAATGTTTATTTCGTCACGTTTTTTTTAAATTACGTTATCGGAAATTTATTATCACGGAAAATTTATTTTTCTTTTGCCAAAAGAACACATTCTACATTCAAATCTTTTATAACGATATATATTATTTTAGTATTTTTCTTTTATTTTCAGAAGGTCTTGGAGTTCGCCATGTCCAAACACTTCTACTCTTCATGGCTATGTTCTTAGCTTATAGTATGCGCGTAAATATCAGTATGGCCATAGTCGACATGACAAATAAGAAAAATGACACGGTAAGTTGACATATGAGAATTATCCTTAGATGTGAAAAATGATAAAAATGTCCATTGAAATCAAGATTAAAGTTCAGTTAGCTTATTTTGTATATTGATAATACTATCTTCAATTTAAGCGAATAGTATATGAATTTCAAAACACAAGACTGGAGACACAAACCGACTTCGGTTTGAACCATCACATTCAAATTCGTTTCGGCGTCAGTTTATTATTTTCATCCCCAGAATGGTTCTATAATTATAAATTTAATTAATATTTCCATCGAATGCACTTACTGCCTATATTAAAATTTTTAGTGCAAACACCCCGCTAAAGCTATTTCCTACGCCTACGTAAAGATTACTTGATTAAAACACTCGTTATTAGGTTTTACAATCAATAAAATCTATTGGTCTTTATCGCAGATCACTTCTTATTGTTTGGCCGTATACATCGGTTTTAAAGAACTCATCAAAAATTATTTAAAAAAAATGCCAGAATTCACTTCACGCATATTAATTTACACTATTGAAAGTATGCAGACTACTTCAGCCACTTCAATTTCTTTTAATAAACTGAAACCGTCATTAGAACGTAAATTTTTTTAAATACCCATTTTTTTTGCAAAAGATTTTATAAGTAAATCCAATTAGATATTTTTTAATACACAGCACTGAATAACGTTAGATTAGATTAGAGACCCCAAGTCAAGGAATAATTTTTATGAACACCAAATATTTTTTTAATGGCTCTAAGTTTCGTTGGCATAAAATTGCTATAGAATTCCTCATTTTTATGCAAGAAGAGCTTATCTTATAGTTCAATGCCACATGTACTCTGATTAAAACATAATAAAAATAAAAACCGAATACAGATAATTAGAGGTCAATATTAAACTATAAACAATTTATTTTTAACTTATTATTTGAAGTGAAACGAAAAGTTGTATGTTATGAATATTTATTGTGTACTAAATATATATTTCAAAGTCGAGCAAGTCGAATTTGTCAGGATAGGCGTCCATATATGCGCGAAACGTATTTAATACCATATGTTCTACCAAAAAGTACTGACCGACTCATTTACCCGAAAGCCACAGTCCACCAACATATCTTTTTCTCCCATACAGAGTCTAAATTCAGCGCTAAGTTTGACTCCTGCTTGTAAAAAACGTACTGCATTTGACTATGAAATAGTTTCATCTTCTCATCACAGAATCTTATCCTTAAGCGAAGTAACTTCAAGAATCTTTAAGGTTATCCAAGCGAAGTCTCATGACCGATGGACTCCGGCCTGGCGTTGACCAGATCTGTCTTGTTTTCTCATAAAAATACTTTCTAATTGTAATGTACTTCTCGAGTCGTTGATAAATTAGATAATATTTAGGGTTATGTTGAATTTATTGAGGTTATCCAAATGGGTGTGGCAGTTCACGGGACAGATTAAAGTAGAGACCTTTGGGAACGGAAAATTATCATACCACAAAGACTAAGAGGTCATTTGATAACTTTGCAACGAATTTTTTAATTGCGAAGCAAATTTATTTCACGCCTACGTGCAAAAATCTGAAAAATATATGTGTAAAAACATTTTTCTTTTCTTTCATGGTCGATTGTTATATTTTTATACATAAGGATCGCATACGAGGTGAGTTCAAAAAATAACGAGAATTTTCGTTTTATGAAAAAAATATTTATTTATTCACCAACATATATTATTTAATTTTTTACGCAAAATTGAATACAAATTCTTTGATCCTATTTTTTACAAACGAAAATCGCCGAGCTCGAAAAACACGTCTAACGTTAGCGGCTGCCACTTAAAAAGTAAGCAATGAATATTAATACAGGCGGACTCTCCAACCCGCGAAATTTCACAAACACACCTCGTATATGATTTCCATTTATTACAACCAACAACTCAATTCGGTTATCATAGATTAAAGATTCACGAATTAAACCCATCTGTTGTTTTCATTGAAGTGACGTTTCGCATAAAACAATTGTAAAACGAGACAATGAATTCTTGTTATAGAACTCCGTACCAAAACTTGTTAATAAGTAGTTCTTATTATTAAAACTTTTAATAGTTAACAGACTAGACGTACCGACGTGACGCGAATTAGTTTGCAATTTACTCAATTTATTCCAATGAAGTTAAAAACTGCTTTAGAATTACTAAGAAATTAAATAAGTTTAAACTTACTTTAAACTTAGTGAATTAACTAATTACTCTAGTTTCAAGTAAAAAAAATAATTTACTAATTAATAATTTATAAGAAGAAATTTGGTTGCAATATATACATTGATATATGTACAATAATATTTGACACAGACAAATTATTCCAGCAAATATTCCTTGGCTTAGTGCGTATGATAATAAACCTCGATTCCCGGTGAAATAATAGTTATTTTGGATGTAAAGGTAGAATTTATATCACTTATATTCATCCATAACACGTTCCTGAAGGTTGTGAATACAAAAAAAACTAGCACAGCTTCAGAATGAACTAAGCAAAGTATCCTCTAACATAGCCGTTTCATGCCGGCAATTTGTGAAATAAATGATACCCCGAAAATATATAATATATATTAACTAATTCCATCTACATTTTTACAACAATATTGTATAAAGATTGGCAACACTAGAGGTTAACAAGACGAGTAACCATGACCATTAGAACCATCTGTGCAGGTTAATTAATGTGACAATGAATGCTTAAAATTATCTACGACATAGTAGTACATAAAAATAAGTAATATCTTGTAACATTTCCTTATTTATTTTTTAATTCTTGAGGCTATACTAGCTGGGTCTCGTAATTTCTTTCGTTTTAATCGGTCATATCCTTACTTGATAAATGGGTTATCCAATACATAATGTATCAATTGAATATAAAAATTATTCCTGAGATTAGCTCCAACAAACAAACTCTTCAACTTTTATACGTCTTCATTAGGTAGTCTATAGATGTCTATTTAAGTCACATTTTTTTTTTTTTAAAGACAATTCACACCAATTGACCTAGTCCCATGCTAAGCTGGTGATGCTTGTGTTATGGGTACTAGGCAACGGATATACATACATATCATAGATAGATAGACATATAAATACATATTTAAACACCCAAGACGTAAGCACAATACCAAATGCTCATCACATCGACGTTCGTCTCAGCCGGGGATCGAACCCGGGACCCATGGATTCGCAGTCAGGGGTACTAACCACTAGACCAATGAGTCGTTAAACACATATTATCAAAAGGCAATCCTCTTCTTTCATAACAATCTTTTATTTAGTTCGTCTCGTACTGTACTGTAATGGTAAGACTCAGAGTCAAGACTTAACGCTAAGTATGACCCATATGTCAAATTCGTATTGGACATTCGGGAGCCTAACGTAAAGTATAAAAAGTGTTTGAAATAGCATTAAATAAGGCTATATATAATATAAGCTCAATCAAAGTACGGCCTTCCTTTACCTTGGTTCTAAGAAACTATGTGCAAAAACTTAATTACATTGCAAACATAATGCATCCCATTTTTATCGGTATTTCTAATTAATATAAATAGATAAATATAGATAATATTTAGCTTGTTGTTATACACAGATTAATCAAATTTTATGCGTATAAAAATACTATAAGCGACGCAGTCTTTTATATTTTAGTGTGATACAAAAATATTGTTTTTAGAATTACATGTTTTAACGTTTATAATAAATATAAAATTTATTTGCTAAATAATAAAGAAAAACTTAAGTATTTAAATAGGTCTACTTGCAGTGTGAATTGATAATTATGTAATGACTTATAAATACTATAAACAAAAATCAACAAATGTGAATAAAAGTGTACAATAACTTACGTATAATTCAATGTAAATAAACAAAATATTTTTAATTTCAGTATTTCGACTGGAGTTACAGCATACAATCAATGATCCTTTCATCGTTTTTCTGGGGCTACGTGGTGCTGCAGATTCCTGGTGGTATTCTAGCTAGAAGGTTTGGAGGAAAAGTGCTTATAACGATATCTGTATCCGTTAACTCTTTGATCTCTCTTCTCATGCCGATTCTGGCTCAAGCAGTAAGTAGAAACTATTATTTCGAATCTCAACTACTTACTCTCTTCCAAAAAAAAAATGGAGGCTACCACGACAAACAGTTACCGCCGCAATCAAATTCAACGTTTTTGATTTTTCCGAGTTTTCGTACTACATAATTCTAAGATTCAGCTAAGGATATTGAGGTATCTACTCATACATAGGGTTCCATCTTTAGCTGATGTCATTAGAGGTATTTGCTAAGAAGTGGCAATGCCAGCCAAAAGTTAACAATTGAAACATATTAATGCCCTAAAAACTTAATGTCACTTTAATTTCTAGTTTTGCTCTAACTTTTTTAGCTACACTAAAAAATAATTATTGTTTGTAGGGTGGATGGCAAATGGTTTTAGTATGCAGAACTCTGCAAGGACTTACTCAAGCGTTTGTCTTTCCATCTATGCACCATCTCGTTAGTCAATGGGTCCCTCTAGAAGAAAAGGGAACGCTGACTACTATTATTTATGCTGGTAAGGGTAAATCTTAAAAAGTACTTCCTTATATTATCACAAATTAAAGTATAAAATGTACATCTACAGGTGCCCAACTTGGTATCGCCCTGCAGCTTATTGCAGCAGGTTTCCTCGCAGAAGCCTGGGGTTGGCAAGCGATATTTTACACTGATGGAGCGCTAGGATTAATATGGACTATTGTTTATTTGTTTATTGGAGCAAGTGGGCCAGAGGACTCGAAATGCATATCAGCCGAAGAGTCACTTTACATAAGGACTTCATTAGGAAGAGTGGGAGAACCAAAGGTAGGTAAAATTTTCGAAGCATAGTAGAAAACAACAGAAACAAATATATATATAGAAATTAAATTTTTTAGATGCTGAAAACACCGTGGTCCAAGATTCTACTTTGTTTGCCCTTCTGGGCAGCGGTAGTAGGTCATTGTGGACAAAACTGGGGTTTCTTCACTCTCATGACTGAAATGCCAACGTATATGGCCAAAGTTCTTGGCATGGATTTAAAACAGGTATTTTTCTATGATCAGCTTATGTCGGGATCAATAATAGCCAGTGGATCATTTTGAACTTTCTTAGCTACGAACGAATCTTACAATGCAAAGTTTTATTATATTATTTTTATTACGACTAAGCTAAAAAAGTGAACAAAACAAAAAATACTTTTTAAAAAATAATTAAAAAAATTGTTTTATAATTCTGACTGAGCTGAAAATATATAAACCATTTTTAGAACGGTGAACTATCTTCACTGCCATATTTAGCGATGTACGCCTTAAGCTTCCCTATGGGAATCATGACTGACGTTATTGTGCGGAGGAAATGGCTAAGTGTTTCCAATACAAGAAAACTTTCAAATACAATAGGTAAGACGAAATTTTTAATAGCTGTTTTGACATACAAGAAACTAATATTAATAATCGAAACCATTAAAGCTTCCCCTGCCTGCCATGTAATTTCACTGCCGAGGTGTTCAACCGGAATACTAGTTAGTTTTAGTTATAAAAAGAATTTCGATCGAAGTTGGGTTTCATCGATAGATTGTCATAAGACTTTTTTGTTTAAAAGTGACAACAATAGTCGTACAACAAGCCTTTGTTGCTATTTTCATATTGCCTTATAATAATTTATATTATTTGCTTACGAAAATATATCAACTAAGTATGCTCAAGTTTTTAAGGAGAAAATATGTATATACGTGCTATTTTTTCAGGTCTTTGGGGTCCGGCGGTGGCTTTAATTGGTCTGTCTTACATTCCCGAGGGAAACATGACATTGGCAGTGTTGATGCTAACCGTCTCAGTTGGTGTCAATGCAGGTCAATACACCGGTTATATGGTAATTATGGTCCCTAAGTAAATAACTGAAAATGTATAATTTTTACAATATATAAATTATATTTTCAGTTGGTACTGAACGATTTAGCGCCTAACTTTAGTGCAAATCTGATGGGTGTTTCCAACTTCTTCGCGAATATCATTTCTATCATTGCTCCTCTGGTATGCGGAGGCATCATTCAAGACGAGGTAAGTTTTACTATATTGTGTACTTTAATGCAGTACATTAGAATTTGTCAACTCGTAAACTATAGTTGATTATAACATATTTTGATGGCGATATAGCTATATTGATTGCTATATTTGCGACATTGCTTACTTACAACGCGTGGTAACATATTTCCGTTTTAAAATTCCTTGAAAATTAATCCCATACAATTCATAATTACAGAACTCGAATTAAACATTTCTTAAAATAAAGTAAACCTTATAATAGATCGTATATTAAAACAATTAATTTAAAATTAAAAATATTTAATTTTTCATAGTCTGACCCGGGCGAATGGCGTAAAGTATTCTTCTTGGCTTCAGCTGTCTACTTCTTTACCAATTTGTTCTTTATCTTATTTGCGACATCAGAAAGACAATCTTGGAACGAAGAGGAAGATAATGATATCGGTATGTACTCTGCATCAGTTAAATATTGTAATAATAAAAATAAGATATAATATTATGTGTAATATAGTTTTCGATGTAATAACTGTAAGTAATACCTCAATAAAAGTATGCAGCCTTAAAACAAATATTGGATGAAATTTAAAATGAATTTATGCAAATTATAGGCTCAAATATAAATGTTACTATACAGATAATTGCAACTTTACTTATTTCAGAAACAAAGGAACAAGAAATAAAAGAAAAGTGAAGAAAATTGTAAAGTTAAATTCAACTGTATTTTGTACCTGATTGGAAAAAAGACTATTGTAAGACACTATTTAATAAACCTAAAAATATATGTTTTTTAATCAATCCGAAATAACCTGGAATATTTTTAGTTATTCATACATTCAATATAATCCCTGTAATATATTCTGAATTCGTCGTAGTACCAATAATCCAGATCAAGCAAATGTATCCGTAAATATGATACGCAAAAATGCTTTTATTTTTTCAAAACACTTTTCTCAAGCATCGTTTACTAAGGGATCAAAGTTTTATCCCATGTATTCAATGTTATATGATCTTTGGAACGCATATTTGATAAAGGAAGGACGGACGAAGGATGGCAGGAAAGCTATGAGCCACAATTACTAATTGTTCGAGTACCGCCTTCACTTTATTTAATAATTCGGGATTCGTAAATGTTACCAGTCGTTGATTTGATTCACCTCTGTATATGTTTTCTTCATGATTTATTTTCAATTAGAATTTAATTAATATACATGATTGAAACGAAAATATGATTAATTTTGTGCGATATCCGAAGCGCGATGACAAATTTGGTATAGGTAAAAATTACTCAAAAGTCGAATAAAGAGAAAGAAATTTAACAAAAATCCTGGCTGCTCGAGCGTGAGGTAACAAATAGGTGCTCATTTAATACCAGCAATTTACTTGAATTATTACATTTCTTGGGGCAATGGGCTTGTTTGATGATTATAATTCGTAGGGAAAACAAATTTTATGTGTCACTTTGGGAGGAATGTTAAATTTTTGGACGAAATTTCTTCTGAGATGTTGTATTTAACCTTAATGTTTTAGTATTAAACATAAAAACATGAATAAATAGTACAAACATAATGCTAAAGATGCAAAGGTTCCAACGAAAACAAAATTATCATACCCAAGTATTTTTAATAATAAATCGTTTAGAAAGTCTTCAAATGTAATTTTTTAAAGTAATTATATAACGTTATACATTTAAACGCGATTCTAAATATGGTAATTATAAATTTATTTTCCCAATACCGATTCATGGACGTTTGATATTTCTTTTATATATCGGAAAGGAAGGAAAGAAAAAACATCGAAGGAAACGATTTATATTTATAACGCCTACAGATAATGGCAAAGCAATCACCACAATTTCCCACAGAACGTAATTTTAGTTGTAAACAAAATGTCATAAGCGTAAAGTCGGTACTTACATATAGGTATATTGTTCAAAAATGTAGACATATATTTAACAAACAAATCTCATCGAAGAAGTGTTGATACCTTGGTATTGTCTATAATGATGAGTTTTCCTGTAATCTCATTAAAATGCTGTCAATAATAATATGACATCCTTAAGTACGTGATACCTCACCCGTCTACCGGAACTTAATACTCTTCGTAAAATATTCACGTACGAACCTAAGAAATACCTAGACAATACAGTGTCCGTTCGTGTAGGAAAATTAGGAGATGCGCATCAAAACTTTTGTTTATATTTTATTATATTGATTATTCAATTATAAATTATTAAATAATTCTGTGTTCTTTATTCTCAAAGACGATGGAAATAGCATTAACATTACATTATTACTATTATTTTATTTTACACTTACTTTTACGTTTTTACTTCATATGCTGTTCCCTAATTTGTGTAAGATTATTTAGAGTAGAGAGTAGAGTATAGAGAGTAAAAGGAGTGGCAGAGAGTTTTTTACCTGTTCCTCCATTCCTCAACCTTGATCCGAGAACTGTTTTGGTAAGTATTCTATCATGAATGCTATACGGTCTGCCGATCTTCGTGTTTGCCTCTATTAATGTCACATATGTTCTATTAGTCCACAGCCTTAATTTATCCTCTTAAAACTACATATTTGGTTTAAATTACAGCTAATCTATATTCTGGTCATAAAATCCTAATATATCAGGAACTAATCTCACCTTGCAACTTCAAATTTTCCCTACAATTTTCCTCAAATAAATTCTATACTTAATACGGGAAGTGTTATATTAAATATATATGGCCGACTTCCGCGTTTTAATTTATATTTATTTCTGGAGGAGGAAATTTTTTTTATAGATTAATAAGCTAATCTAGCATTAAATTAAAAATAAACACCTACACGGATGTATATTATCCGCAAAAGCAGAGGTATTAAAATGAGTTAATAGTCGAGTACCCTACTCGATTTCCCCGTCATGAATAGCAAGAAAATAAAAAGGGTTGTTAATATACGTTTAATAATTATTGTTAAAATTGTGGTGGTACGTAATTTCCGTATTTACATCGCGACTTACATTACAAGCTTTGTAATTTTGCTAAATTTAATTTAGTTCTCAATAATTTCTTATTTGAAAGTACTTCGAACATTATTTTTTTTAACGTAAACCAGTGTAAATAAAGCAAGAATAGTGTAGAGATTGAAATCGTAAATGTTTTCTTGTTCATGCTTCCCTGTTATCTTGGGGGCTACAAAAATGTGTCACCGTTGGAATAACTGCATTTCGAGCAATACCGTTTCCCCGTAATGAATATCAAGAAATCTATGTATTAATCTGACACAAAAGGACATAGGTGAACCTTTTTGTGTTTATAATCGTTAAATGATGGCTATTGAAATTATTAACAAAACCTATTTCAAATTTGAAAAAAAAGTGATACAACGAGAACCTGGCTGCACTAACCTCGCTGATAATATAAAATCAAACTCGAAACACTATGCGTTTGTCTAGATAGCACAAGATCTCTTTTTACACATAAAAAAAATAACAAGTTACATTTTTAGCAGATATTGGAGCCCCTGAACTAACTCTAGGGAGACCTGTACATTAGGGTACTCACATATAAGTATTGCACAAGCAGTTTGGTATATAGTACATGCCTTACATTATACTAGCGTCTATAGAAATCGTAACAATTAATGCAACACGTTTAACTGTAAAACCACTGTTCCTAAATATGGAAACTATAATTTCCCTAAACCTCTTTATATGAAATATAATATTGAGAAGGGATTTAACTGGACCTCAATAACTAACGGTTATTTGGATACGTCCTAAATACACAAACATGAAAGATACTTTCGATTTAGATAAACATTGGTAATTCATGAAAATGTATGATTATTTATATGAACTCTTTCTCTCAATGTCTTTTTTTTTTCTTATAAAAAATATTTAATATACGCTAAAATTTACGTAAGTAGTTGTGTAATAGCAATTTTAATCTATTCGAATTCATTATAATATCCTCGCTATAGAGACTATAAGCCAAAGACGGTCACGTTTCGTTAAGTAGGATAAAAATAGTCAAACCATTTTGGCTTTTTATATTTCATGCTTTCTTTTACTATAAGTTTTCCAATAGTAGTCCCTTAAATTCAAAAACAATATTTGTTTTAATATAACTTTAACCAACAATTATTTGTAGACTATAAATGTACAAGTTTATTACTTTAAATTATCTCAATAAAATACAATACTGCAGGTTCATTTAATGTTGTCCATTATTATTTACCAACCCGATAGAAAATAGGCACACAAGTATAGCACAAGGTTAGTAACAATTTCTCTTCGGAAAATAATTAATTATTTCAAGCAATCAATTGAACAAAAGGCAAGCATTGTTATTTTTAAATTATTTTAAACTACCTTGCAATTTTTAAATAGTTTAATTAAAATGTCGGTTAAAGTAATAATTGTTAAAACTATTATAGTACGTTATCTACATATTTACATCGCGCCTTTATAAACCTGGAAATTTTGTTGTATATACTCATCAATTTCTTATTAGAAAGTACTTCGAACAATGATTATTTTAACGTAACCGTATAAATAATGCAAGAATAGTGCAGAGATTGAAATCGTTAATGTTCTCTTGTTATTGCTTCTCTGATACTTTGGGGCTACAAAAATGTGACACCGTTGGAAAACTGCATTTGGATAGCAATAGACGGTACGTGATTATTACATTTCTTTGATTTTTTGTTAATTAGACGCGCTAATATATAAATTATGTCAAATTGTATCTTTAGAACATATTTGTTACAATAATTACCAAATATAAATTATTCAAGGAAATAACGTTTTAAGCTTAGATATTTAGAGACTACATAGATATATATTTGACGGTGCTGCAGGATACGCGGGACGCCACCGTGCCACTTATCCGACGATATTCTTTAAAGAGAAGACAAGGCGGCACGATTACCCGCGACTCTTGCTTCACCTTCCTATTATGTAATTTGTTTTACGAACTTAACTTTATTTTCATACATAACTTCCAGTTGCTGAAGCACTAGATCTAGATTATTCCATGTTATTTTAAAATCATTCCTTTATCAAGTAGGACAGAGTCTACGGTACGTTCTGTCTACTGTATCAAACATCAAGATCAGGCTCACCCACTTCCTTGAGATAAACGCTCTTTACACATATAAAATGTTTTGGTTTTGGGCGTATCTATAATTCATATTTCTACCTTCGTAAATGTATACTTATATTCCATTCATTTTAATATCTAATGAGACGCCAGTAATTCTATGAAGATCTGAGCCATCCACTTGTATAGCTTTTCATAGAATAACATCTAGGTACTTACATGCCCATTCATCTCAGATTAATTTGCATTCTACTCATTTCTGCTCCTATCTTTTTGAATAGAAACAATATAAGACTCGTACTATTGACAAAAAAGAGACCAGTACGAGTCTCCAAATATGTCTAACATAATGCTAAGTGTTAGCCGGCCATTATAATGTTGTTATGCAAAATGGAGGCAAAAGAATTCATTAGGAATTTGCCGGAACTAATCGTTTTATTAACAATGGGAATTTTACAATAGTTTTCAATTGTAAATGAAAAATATTTTTGGAACTACACGGATTTAACTAGTGATATCAATAAATTCTACGAGAGGCATCCTCTGTAATACAAGATAATTTGTCCTCTTCGTAGTATACCAACATATACTTATTTTGATTACTTTAATTA